CCTGAGACCCCACCTCACTCTTGGGTCCCTGTGCCAGGGCCCAGGTAGGCTGAGCACAGGCTACCTTTGGCCACCTTCTCTGCTGCCTCCCCCTGTGCCCAGGGGCCACAACCCTCCTCCTCTGTCAGCAGTGCACACTGAGGCCCTCCACCTGGAAACTGCCCAGGTCGCAGGCACTAGGGTCAGCAGCTGGCTCTGGGAGGCCTGCCTCCAGTTACCTGCCCAGCCCTTTCCCTACCCTGGGGACTGAATTCCATTATGACTGCCAGAAGGGTGACAAGGTAACTCTGTGACCTGCAGCTCTTTCCAATGTCCTTCATGTTGGCAACACCAGGGGGAGTCATAGGATCTATGGAGGGTTTGTAAGACAAAACCTCTATTTCCCTTACAACAGCCCTCACAGTGTCCGTTAAAACCCAAATTCTGCCTTTTTTGTTGTTGTTGACTGGAAGAGTTAGCCCAAGTGACTTAGGTGTGTGCGAGAAGGTCAAGAACTGGGAGGCCAGAGTGTTGGCAGTGAGAGGTCATTTGTGTGATACTGAAGCCCCCCAGGGGATGGCAGACATGGAAAGAGATGGAAACTGCAGTGTTACCAGTGTCCTTTGAATGAGGGACATTCTTGTTCTCTACTGCTGTGCACCAGACCACCCCACATTTAGGGACAAAGAACAAAGCCCATTTTATTTTGCTCATAGGTTCCAAGGATCAGGCACTCAGGGCAGAGTCGGGAGAGCTCCACGTGTCTGGAGCCCCCAGTGGGAAAGCTTGAACAGCCCAATATGACTTGAATGATAGGGCACTGGAATTATCTAGAGGCTCCTCCACTCACAAGTGTGGTTCCTGGGCAGGAGGACTCAAAAGCTGGGCTCAGCTGGGACTGTGAATGGAGGCCTTGCATGTGGCCTCCCCATGTGACCTGGGCTTCCTCCCAGCATGGCGGCTTCAGGGTGCTTGGGCTTTAACAGGTGGCTCAAAGTTCCAAGGGTAAGTATTTTCAGTGAGCAAGGCAGAAATTGTACAGCCTTTTATGGCATCACCTTGGGAATCACACAGCATCACTTCCACTGTACACTATTAGTCCAAGCAGTCACAGCTGCCAAGAGTCAATGGGAGGAAACACAGGACCCAACTCTAGGGCAGGAGTGGGAATGAGTTCACACCCCAGTGTCAAAGCTGCTGTATGACCAAGGCTTAAATGGCAGAGATGGTATAGTGTGTGAAAAAATATGGGCACGACCAAGTGGTATTCAAACAGGACTCAGAAGTTAGATTGTTATTATAAAACATTTGTAGAAATACCGTAATCAGTTTTATTTTCTCCATTTTTGTATGCACAAGAGTGGCATATAATTTTAGAAAATTTATAGTAAGTGTATGATATGGTCTGGCTTTGTGTTCCTACCCAAATCTCATTTTGAATTATAATTCAAATTCTAATCCCTACGTGCTGAGGGAGGGACCTCATGGGAAGTGATTGAATCATGAGGGTGGTGTGCTGTTCTCGTGATAGTGAGTCAGTTCTAATGAGATCTGATGGTTTTGTGAGGGTCTTTCCCCCACCTCCCTCTGCACTTTTCTCATTCTTCTCCTTCCTTCTATCATGTGAAGAAGGACGTGCTTGC